CCCCCCCCCCCCCCCCCCGCTCAGCTCCAAACTATCTTCAGCTCAAGACAGTTAAGATTCTAGAATCAAAGCTACTTAAAGCAACAGTTATGTCTTATTGTATATTTAAAGCTTTTCTCCCCGACTGATAAAGAAGACTTGCCCCTTGTTAATAGCTCTGGTGGCAGAGCTATTTCAGGCACTTAAAGAAAAGATGGTTTTGCCTGCGGACCCCCGACTATCACCACCAGCAGGGTCCGCACTGGGATAAGCCAGAGGATCTGCCCCATCTCTCCCAAACCTGAAACAGATAGGATTATTAAACTCACAGACACATAATGATAATACCATGAGACTGTGTTTACAGATACCTGTAAGGAGCTTTATGTGAGCACTCAAACCAGAAACTGTCAATGCCTGCAGGTGTCCAGAAACCACATCAAGGAGGTGACCAGGGAAGGGACTGAGACCCAGAGAGTCTGCAGGCCCGGGAGGCAGCAGGGTTTGACAGCTGAGGCAGGCGACTTTGGTTTTGCAATCTGACTTTCCCTTTCTGGCTGTGGGAGTACAACCAGTGACACATCTTGGCATTCCCAGACTTTATTTTCATTGTGCGGTGGGTTAGGTGGTTCCCCACACTGAAGAGGAAATGAATGATGACTATAAAGCTGAGTTTGTAAAATAAGTGACTATAAAATTGAGTTATACTTTACACAGATTCTTCTTCACTGTCATCATCAAGCACTAATTGATTATCCAGTTCCTTTTAAATCAAGTGGAGTGAGGACGGGGTTTGTCCAAGGGAGAGGAGGCTTATGCTGAACTTAGCATCTCTGGTCCCATCGCTATTGGAGTTAAGTTTCCAGCTATGGCATTGCTTAGGCCCTAAACTTCCAGGAGGGAGATTTAACAATGGCACCAACAGGCGCATCAGGACACCAATAGTCCCACACAAGTTGTTTCTCAATGGAAGCCAGCAACTAACAGTTAATGGCTGCTAAGTGTCAGACACTCCAATGGCGCGCGCGCGCACACACACACACACACACACACACACACACACACACATTATCCAATGAATCAGGTACATTATATCCCCATTTTACAGATGAGGAAACTGTAAGAGATTAAGTCACTTGCCCACTGAATTATGAACTCCATGAGAAGAAGGACTGACTTCTTCAGACCTAAAGTAGTACTAGACACAGGGACGATGCTCAATAAAAAATTATGAATAGCCCTAGCAGGGTTTGCTCAGTGGATAGAGCATCAGCCTGCAGACTGAAGGGTTGTGGGTTTGATTCCAGTCAAGGGCACATGCCTGGGTTGCAGGCTCGATCCCCAGTAGGGGTCGTGCAGGAGGCAGCCAATCAATGATTCTCTCTCATCATTGATGTTTCTATCTCTCCCTCTCCCTTTCTCTCTGAAATCAATAAAAATATATTTTTTAAAAAATTATGAATAGGTGAATGATAGGTAATAAATGGTGAAGCAAAGAGAACTATGTTCTCCAGAAAGATTTTCCTGGCTAACTAAAAGAGCTGTAATAATCTATAACTTTTTTAACCTTTCCTTTCTTCATATATTTACCCATTGATTGAGTGTTTCCACAAGGAAGTGTCTTACTACTCTGTGGGTGTACAAGGCTGGTTGCTAATTTTGGAACACTTGTGAATCCTGGGCCCAGGCTCATGAAAAGGCTGGTTGGTGAGTCATATTCCCCATTCCAAGCACCCTACACACTGGCTGTCAGAATAAATCAGGAGGAGTCACCATCTCACCCTCTGCTCTCATTGTCTCATTTTACCTTCTTGAAATGACAAGGGATGCTTTGCAGAGGGTGGAGTCAGAGTAACAGCAAACTTCTAGATACTCTTGCACTTTTGCAAAATGCACAGATTCTCCTGGAAACCTCACTCTCCACTGGAAGAGTCCATCCTTCCCCCGAGGATGTCAGTGTGAACATGTACGTGGCCATAGCTTCTTTACTGTGGGCAATGACTGCAGCAACCTTCCAGGCAGGTAAGTAACATAACCTGTCGCCAGGAGACCATTAGCCTCTTTAACAAAGGACAGAGAGAAAGGTTTAAAATACAAGCACCCCCGAAAGAGGAAATACATTGATCTAAAGTCCCAGAAAAGGGCAAAAAAGCTGATGGCAGACCTTTCTGGGGCAGAAAGAAGGCAGAGTTCAGGGGGATTAAAACAGAGGTGGAAGTTTATAAGTTATATAAATATCTAATCACTATGCTGTACATCTGAAACTAATATAATATTGTATGTCAACTGTAACTTAAAAATAAATTTAAAAAACCAGAGGCAGAATTGACTTGGCACCTATCACAGATTATTCGGTACTTAAAGTACAAACCTACCGACTCTCATTCATGTTGTCAGTTATTCAGGCTCCTTTGCTTGTCTGCAGTAGATGGCTGCATCCTTGCCTCCAAGGCTCTGAGCTGGGAGAAGGGAGAAAACCCAAACTAGGTCACATGTTACCTGTGAACAACACCATGATCAAGTTCTGATAAGAGTAGTGATGATGTTAAAGGTTAAATTGAGACTGTCATTGTCTCTTCAGAGTGTGACTTCCATAACTTCCGCCATCCCCTTTATTATAGAGAACTGAGAGTGGAGAGTATCTGAGGATTTTCCGACTGGATGAGCAGCCACATGAATGTTCCAAATGCCAATTCCTCCAGCAAAGTGCCCCATTGTTTCGTTCCTCCCGACCAGGCTGGATAATGCAGGAATAAGAACACACAGAGAGAAGCAGTGCTTTTAAAAATAGATCTGACTTAGTAGTCTTTAAATAGCTGAGGATTATGATATGAGAGAGGGCTTCTTTGGGTCTCCAGCTGGACAAAATAGCCTTAATGGACTTGACTAAAGGAATTTGGCTTTGCTAAGTAAGAACTTCTAAAAGGTAAGAAAGCTGCTAAACAAGAGAATTTCCTTTTCCGCAGCTGAATGGATTCTCACTTGGCTGAGATGGTCACTGAAACTCAGCCCACCTTGACGTGGAGAGATAGAGTAAATCCTTGCTATTCAAAGTGTGGTTCCTGGACCAGCAGCAGTAACCTCACCTAGGAGCTTGTTAAAGCTGCAGACTCTGAGACCTCACCCTCGACCTACTGAATAAGAATCTCCCCTATAACAAAACTCTCAGGTGAAATACATGTACCTAACAGACCAAGAAATGCTGGGCTAAATGACCTTTTCAGATTCTTCCTACTTGAAGATTTGATGGATCGCCCCCCAGATGAGAAGCAGTGTGGCCATCTGCAGAGGGAGGACCTGGTTGCCACAGCTTTCTACTCATCTGTGTTTATAGAACACGTTTCTCCACAACCTCAAGGGGCTGCAGCTACAGTCTCTCTGAACACACCAGGCTCCCTGTGGCAAATCCCTGGAAGACCACACAGCTTGGGAGTCTGCTGTGTGTTCAGAGGGACTATAGGTACTCCTTGAGGTGTGCCTCTCTCAGGCCTATCAAGGACTCCCAGAGCAAGAAGCAAGGCGGTGATCCAGTGGTTTGTGCAGATCCTGGCTCTTCTCTCAGATGCGGGAACCACCTGCATACTTCCCTGTTCATTCATCTGGGGCTACAGACGGCAGGCAGCACCCAACATCTCATCTGGTGAAGAATCATAAGGCAACTCATAAATTTTCCCAAGAAGATCTTGTAAAAGTCATTGCATAAATTATTCATAAAAACCAATGAGAGAAAAAACACACACAAAAAAATCTCATGTGGAGAGTGAGAGGGTCTCAAGATATGGCCAACAACCTCTGTCTAGGAGGATCTAGTTCATGGACACACACTCAGGGAGCATGTCCATCCAGATGCTGATATCAACTACTGATTTGGTCTGTTTGGGCCGCTATAAAAATACTGTAGACTGGGTGACTTAAACAACAAACATTTATTTTCTTGTAGTTCTGGAGGCTGGGAAGTCCAAGATCAAGGTGCCAGAATATTAAGTTCTTGGCAAGATCTCTTTTCCAAGCTAATAGATAGCTGCTTTCTCACTGTGTCTTTACATGGTCTTTCCTCAGGGTGTGTACATTGAGAGGGAGAAGGCAAAGGAAAGAAAAAGGGAGAAAGGGGAGGGGAGGGGAGAGGGAAGGAGAGAGGGAAATTCCGGTATGTCTTTCTAGGGCATTAATCCCATAATGGAGCTCCATCGTTCTTATTTCATTTAAACCTAATTACCTCCCAAGGTCCCACCTCCAAATACCATCATGTTGGGGATTAGGACTTCAACAAATGAATTTTGAAGGGATACAGACATTCAATTCATAACAACCACCAAGTAAGAGACTTCAGAAAGCCCAATTTCTAATCCATATTTTCTTCCTTAATTCATATGTTCTTGACTAATACTAATATTTTTAAGTACACTAAGACTACACTAATAGAAAAACGGAAATTTTAAAATTATGCATCTTCATAAAACTAGTAGCGCTGAAGAAATGCAGTTCATTGGTCCCCAGTCTCTCCACTTCACTATTCCTCATGGGCTGTGGTCCAATGGTCAGGTCAAAGATGAGCTGCACTGAATATGTATTCAAAGTGAGAAGAACAGTTGAGATCAGGGGCTCTAGAGTTATGATCTGGTCTCTAATGTGATTCTGTGGCTTTCTACTAATGACCTTCCCAAACTTTGATTACCCCATCTATAAAATGGAGGGGATTGTACTTTCTATCATTATATACCACTAGAGGCCCGGTGCACGAAATTTGTGTACTGGTAGGGCCCCTAGCAGCTGCTGGCTGCTGGCTGGGGTCTCCCTCCCTTTCCCCGACCCGCCCTGCTTCAAACTCCCAGACAACTCCCAGTCAAGGGGACAATTTGCATACTACACTTTTATTATATAGGACTAGGGGCCCAGTGCACGAAATTTGTGTACTGGTAGAGCCCCTAGCAGCTGCTGGCTGCTGGCTGGGGTCTCCCTCCCTTTCGCCGGCCTGCCCTGCTTCAAATTCCCAGACAACTCTCAGTCAAGGGGATAATTTGCATACTACACTTTTATTATATAGGATTATAAAGTCATGTGAAGGGTAAATTAAATAGACATGAAACATTCTGCCACAGTTAGACACTGAATATACAATGGCTATTACTATTGCTGTGGTTGATATGATTGGTCATGATACTTAGGTCTTTCTGGATCATGTGTGCTCTTTCTACTCTTAGGCTGAGACTTCCAAGAATCAGGATTTAAGTTTCCCTCAGTAGACCCCATTTCACCTTCCCTGAGATTGTGAAAGTTCTGCTTTCTGTATCTCATGGAGCAGCCCATGTAGGGCCCTGCCCTTGTTGAACATCAGAACTAGTATTGTGGCCACTTGCTTCACTACTGGCTGGAAGAACTCGTCCCAATTCCTGAACTCCCATTAAGACTTGCAACACAAGTTAGGCCTTGTTTGTTAGGAGGCCAGGAATCCTCTTCCACCTCTCCAATCCTCATTACCCCACCCTGGTGAGCACTGATCTTCATCCATACCTCTTTACCCCTTATACAACTCTTCACCCCTGAGCACATATTATACATTGGTCTTAAAGGGTGATCTTTCCTTCATATTAACTTTCACTTCCTAGGGTCAGCCATCTGAGAAGGCACCTTGGAACATACCCAGTACTTCATTGATGGGTCACGTGTACTTTCCTAGAGTAGAAGCAGGCATCATTTCTACCCTGCCCATGTGGTCCCAACTGGACCCAGTTACATCAAAATCTGTTGTCATCCATCCAAGGAAAACCCATATCATCAAAGTCCTTCATCCTGATTCCTTTGTCCAGTGCTCTTAAACTACATAAATGGTTTTGACCTGCTGTGTAAAGGCCTTGGGCCCTGCTCCTCTCTCAATCCCACTCCCCAATCAGTTATCTCTTCCAGGAAGTTTCCTGCCTTCTCTCACAAGCCAAGCTGGCTTAGGACCCCTCCACTGAGTTTACTTCTATAATTACCCATTGTCTGCCTCTCCCACAAAACCAACTTCAAGGAGGGCTGGGGTCATGTTATTCATCTCTGTATTCCCAGCATTTAACACAGTCTAATAAGTGCTAAGCATGCAATAAATGTGGAAAACAAAGAAAGAAAAGAAGAAAGGAAGAAAGGAAGAAAGGAAGAAAGAAAGAAAGAAAGAAAGGAAGGAAGGAAGGAAGGAAGGAAGAAAGAAAGAAAGAAAGAAAGAAAGAAAGAAAGGAAGGAAGGAAGGAAGGAAGGAAGAAATGACAGGTGTAGAAAAAAGGAAATAATGAGAAAAGACAGGCTCTAATTCTGCAGAAGAATTCCCAATGGTCCTGAGCAGTGAAGCTAAAATACATCTTTCTCTATATTTAATCTTCCAAATTTTCTCTCCATGTTATTAACATAAAAATAAGATGAGTTTATAGACTTATTAAAACTGTTGGTTAAATAATCATGATGGTTTCTGGAGCCCCGGGCCATCAGCAAGCCCTATAAAGTACTCTCTAGTGACAGTGGGACATAAAACCATCATCAAATATAAACACTGAACTTTTTCCTGGTCACAGATACACAGTCCATTTAAAGGTCAAGGTCAGTCACTCTTCTTGTGTATGTGTGCCTTCCAAAGCTGGCAAACATTTCCACACACATCCAAGAAAGGGGGAGCAGGACCAAAAGCTCTTAGGGATTCACTGTTGGTCACAGTCACCTTATAGGTATCTCCACAAGTAGAGAGACACAGGGTCCCAGAAAGCTAAACGGCAAAAACAAAACAGCCAGATAATCAAGAAAAGTAACCACGTGTGTGCGTATACACATACACTCAACAGCTAAACTTTCCTAATAATGTTTTGCTCAGATTAATAATTAAATGGCCCTGTGTACTTTGAATAGAAGCCAAATGCTCAGCAAGGAGAGACAACAGAGAAGCATATCAATGAGGTCAGCCTGGAATGAAAATTATCCAGTCCACCATGCAGATAATCTAGATTCTTACATTCATTTCCTATATCTTCTTTGCCTTTAAAAAAAATAATTTATTGCCCCAGCCAGCATGGCTCAGTGGGTGAGCATCTACCTATGAACCAGGAGGTCATGGTCCTGGGCACATGCCCAGGTTGCAGGCTGGATCCCCAGTGTGGGGTGTGCAGGAGGCAGTTAATCAATGATTCTCTCTCATCATTGAAGTATATATCTCTCGCTCTCTCTCCCTCTCCCTTCCTCTCTAAAATCAATAAAAATATATTTACAAATAAATAAATAAAAATTAAAAATAATTTATTTTATTGAGATAACAATGGCTAATAACATATACATTTTAGGTGTAGAACATTATAATTTGAGATCTGTATAATCTATTGCATGCTCCCCACAAAAAGTCTAGTTTCCATATAATTGACGCCCTTTACCCATTTTGCTCTCCATTGCCCCTTGCCCCCTCTGCTAACCACCATTCTGTTGCCTGGATCAATGAGCTTGTCTTTGTTTTGTGTTGTTAGTTCATTTGCTACTATTTTGTTTTTTATTCCACATATAAGTGAAATCATACAGTTTCTGTCCATTTCTGTCTGACTTATTTCACTTGGTGTAATACTCTCAAGATTCATCCATGTTGTCACAAATGTTTTCTGCCTTTAACTCAAAATTTTAGATATGGATTAAATATAAGGTATGAAGAAAGTTTACTGTACAAACTTTGGTCTCCTCCAGCCAGTTCAGTCATTGCTCTCTCTACAACCAATAGAAGCAATAGTTTGACCCTAAAGCCTGAGCCAAACTTTGTTGCTTGTGTTTGGAGGACAGCTCCTCCTGGCTATGGGAGCTAATCCATATGTGTGTTCTCCCTCCAGCAGAGCATATCCCTTATAGGCACCATGGCATCTCTCCTAATAAAGAGGGTACATTCCCCATGACTTACTGTGTGGTTGGGATCTTCATTATTGAAGGTGGAAATTCTATGGTAGTTACCTTCCAGGGTACTGGAAAATTGAGTGTGGCTGTAGGAAAAGATAATCTGCTCTAGACTACTTTTTTTATTGTCAAATATTAATCTTATCTCTGGGAGGGGGTGGGGAAGGAGAGATTCAAGTTAGCAGAGGATCTAAGGGGAGCCAACTAGTGCTCAGACAGAGAAGACAGGAAATGGGGGAAAGGAGCATGAGAAGGAAGAAGGTCACAGGAGAAAATGGTCTCCCCAAAGCCAAGGGGAATGGGTGTTTCCCAGGAAAGCAGAATGACTCCTGAAGGCACAGAGCAGATGTGGAAGTGGGTGCCTGCCAGGCCTGCCTCCTTCCCACTGCTCTCTTTTTCTCCTTCCCTCCCTGACTCCTTTCCTTCTGTCCACTTTTATTGACCAGTGTGTCAGGTACTGTGTCGGTGGTGGGGACATGAAGATAATAAGAGTCCCTAACCTCGAGTTATGAAGTAGTGAAAGTGGTAACCAACATGTTCGACAAACCAAACAATGCAAACATATCACGGAGACTGTCTTAGTAAATGTGCCAGACCCAGCGGGCCTAGGTGGAAGCCAACAGTTCATGCAGCTGATTTCAGTAACAATGTAGTTCTCAAAACACCTACTGCTCTAGACTAAAAGAGAATAAAGAGATATAACAACTACATTCCATGTAAGAATTTTATTTTTAATCGTCACCTGAGGATATTTTCCCATTGATTTTTTTTTAGATAGAGTGGGACAGAGGGAGGGAGGGAGGGAGGAAGGAGAGAGAGAAACATTGATGTGAGAGAGACATATCAATTAGTTACCTCCCACACGCAATGAAACTGGGACTGGGGAATGAACCTGCAACTCAGGTATGTGTCCTTGGCTAGGAATTGAACCTGTGACCCTTCCGTTTTAGGGTTGATACTCTAACCACTGAGCAAGCAATCCCAGCCAGGGCCAATGTAAGAGTTTTGATTGGATCTTCTTTGAAAAAATATCTTAGAAGACATATGAGGGAAATTTTTATATTGATTAGGAATTAGGTGATTTAGAGAATTATTAATTTTCTTAAGCATAATAAAGATTATTGTGGATATGTAGGAAATTGTCCTTATTTTTCAAGAGATGTACGTTAAAGTATTCAGGGGTCATGTCTATATCTTACTTTGAAATGTTCTGAAAAAATATATACAGCAAAGTGTAAACAATTGTAGAATCTGGGAGAGGGATTTGAGTCCATTGTACTATTCTTTCAACTTTCCTACACATTTGAAAAATTTCATAATTAAATAAATTTTAAAATTCCCTCTACTTGTGAGCTGTTATACTAAGGACTGCAGTAGAATAAAACCATTTGTGTGTCAATTAGCCAATAAGTAACCATAACTAACATTTATCATATGACAGGAAATTCTGAGCACTAACATGCGTTTTCTTCTTTAGTCCTTACAGCAACACTGCATTATGGGCTTTCCTTTACAGAAAGGGGAAACTGAGGCCTGGCAAGTGAAGTACCTACCCCACATCATACAGCTGTCAGGGCCTAATACCAACCTGGCTGTGATCTGGTTCTGCACTACCTACTCCTAACTGTGATCCTCCACCTCCAGTCTCCCAGGAAACACCTTGAAATGCAATGCCCCGTTGAAGTAACAGTGACAGAAATCATTGACCTGTCAACCTGTGAGTACAAACAACCTTTCTAAGAGCCTTTCCTGCTTTGATAGGGAGAAGAAAGGTCTCCAGGGGCTGTCAGGGGAGAAGAGGCCACAGGTGACGAGAAAGAGGAAGTGGGGAAGGAAAACTGTTTGGGGGCAAATTGAATCTGCAAAGCAGGTAGTTTTGCCTGAAGCGGCAGACAAAATGTTTTCTGTTTAGGAGAAAAATCACTGCAATCAACACTGCTGCACACCACTAATGAAGGCTGGAAAAACACACAGCTACAACATATAATGGTGTTTGCTTCCCAGAGGGTTTCTTAATCAAGGTCTCATCATGTCTGAAGTTCCAATCACTGACTCCCATTCAGGACAGCAATGTGATTGAAGAGAATGGGGTTGGGCTCTGTTGCCATTCCTACCCTCCTACCTCTATATGATCTGGGCCAGCGAGAGCAGAGGGCAGGGTGTGCCTGGCCAATTGGCCTCTATAGGAATTTTAACCATGACTTCGACCTGACTTGCCCTCTGCTCCAATCTCCTGACTAACTGGCCAGTGCACATGGCAAAGCCACAGTTCCACGGCCAGCCTGCCAGACCCACCTTGCAATAACCAGGGTCAAGTTCTAGTTTGCTCTTGGTGTATGTAAGAGTTGGAGAAATCATGTAAAAAGTCAGGAGGATGTAAACATTCCAAGTACCAGTCTCCCAGGGATGGGGCATTAGAACAAAAGTCATTTTCTGCCGTGCCCTTTTCCTACAATCCAGCTTTTCCTGAGAAAAGAGCTACCTCGTAAAACCTCCAATGTTCTGAGTAACTCAGGACTAACAATTAGGCAGTGGGGCTAAGGGTCCCTTTGTGCAGAATTTGGGAACTGCCCCTGGGAAATTTTTTTTTTAAAGCAAACACAATTGTGCCAACTGCTCTCAATAGTATTTCTAGAAAATTCGCACCATCACGGCTATATCAGCCTTCCCTTAGCCACAGGCCAGAGGCAACGAGCTCTGAAGCAGCCCTCAGAAGACACAAAGTTGAAGTCAACTCTGATGATTCCTGTGAAGAAGAATTAACAATCTCAAAATGAAAGGTGCTCCTGGGGAAAGAAATGATGCAACGCAGATGTTTATTTGTTAAAATAAACAGCTTTCACAGGGCATTTTCCCTGAAAGGTCTCCCTAGACCTAAACAGTACTCCTGCCTCAAACCCATCTTGCACACCACACAGCTGTGAGCATCGGATGAGCTGCTCTGATTTCCCTGCTTAAAAGCCTCAGTGCCCGACCTGAGGCCCCAGCACTGCTCCCCTTCCTCTGGCTTCTCTGAGCTGAGACTCCCTTCTCCCAGTGATCTTCTAACGGGAAGCATGAAGCCACCCCTCTCCTGCTTGGAAGTTGTGGCTGGCTCCCGATCCCCTGCAGGATAAATATGTACACTATTTATTTGGTGCACAAGGCCTTCATGATCTTTCTCCTGCCCCCTTTTCCCAGACTCATCTGCTAGCACACCTCACGTGCATCCTTGGTTCCAGTCACACACTTCTCTGTAATATGTGGCATCTGACCATGCCTTTTCATTCGCTGTTCCCCGTCTAGAATGCTGTTTCTCTGAGTCCACAGTGTAAACTGAGGCTTCAAGACTCATCCTCCCAGAAATACTCTTCCTTCCTCTCTCCCCACCACCCCATCACCAGACACCACACACACACACACACACACACACACACACACACCCGCCATGGCTCCCCGGTCACACAACCATCACACCTTTTTCCAAGGCTCTGCTCCATCCTCTGTTCACACATCTGCCTCCCACACAGACTGTGAGGACAGAGCCTGTGCAGTGCTCAGGTTGGCACTCCTAGTGTAGCACGGTACCTGGCACTAGTGGGCAGTTCACAATGTGGAAGGACCCTAGACCCTCCCCAGTCATCAATACCAAGGTCACCTGAGAGGAAAGATTTTTGCCAACCAATCCCCAAATTCTGTATCCTGTATTGTCTGTAAATATTACTTCTCTCTTCCTGCATTTTTTTGGGTATTTTCTAGAATTTTAACAATATTCTATTAAACTACAATATGCTTTAGAGAAGCCACACCGTTTACCCTCTTTCTTCCCTCACCAGACTTTGGTTTTGGATATTGATGAGTAACTAATTTATCTATTGGTCCTTTAAGACAGCAACATCAATTGTTTTAAAATCTCTTAGTTTATAGAGGAAAATTTAGCCTAAAGACTGACTCCATTTGTCCCCCACTCAGGAGCCCAGAGTTTCTGTAAGATGAACGCTGTGTATTTGGAGTTTGTAGGGAAGCAATGGGCTAATGGGATAAAAGGTCCTGGCCCTGTGCCCTGGCCACCTTCCCCACTGTCTGTCCTCCTGCTTGGTCCCTCCCCGGCCTGGGCTCCATTTCCCTGCCGAGGGCCACAGGATTCAGAGGTAATCCCACATTTATACAAAAGTCCTCCCTGATTTTCTGAGGGTAACCCTTGTGGGGTCTGGTTCTCTGCTGTCCCAATCATTCTTCATCACCAGGACCTGCAGCTCTGACTTACTGTGCAAGGCGGGGGTGCGGGGGGTGCGGGGGGCGGGCATGGAATTCATATAGAGTACATTGCTTCTTTCAGAGTGACCTGGGAGAAACTTTTTTTCAGTGTTACCATTCCAGAAATTCTAAAATGCAGATCTGGAAAAGGAGAAGGTTATATAGAAAAGCTGTCCCTTGATTTCCACCTGTCACTTCTTTTTATCACTAGCTTCCTGAAGAGTTGAGTGTCTGGAGGTCTTTGGCCAGGATGGTAGTGTACTGGACAGTGTCCCTAGACTGCTGGCTAGAACAGCAGCAAAATGGCGTTGGGGTTGGAATGTGCCCTTGGGAAAGCAGCTGGTGTCTCTATCCATCACTCTCCCTCCACCTCTATGACCCCTCCTCTTCTTCCCATGGCCGACGTGCCACAAACTGCCCTTCAAAGACCTTGGCAGAAGGACATTAATTTATTAGTTGAAGGAGTCTGGTTTCAATGTCAGACTGACATTGGTGAAGACTCCCACAGCCTCCCCTGCCCAGAATCTTCAGATCCTGGGCTTGAATGTTGGTGGGATGGGAATCCAAATCCATACACCTGCTCACAGTCAAGGGATGGCCAGGAGTTAAGAATAAGAGGGCAAAGTTGGGAGCTAATTACTGGAGAGGTGAGCACACATAGGCCTAGATCAACCTGGGAAGGTTAATGTGACATAATTATGGTTAACCAAGGGTGGGCTTAACCTAGTCCAAGATCCTGGGAGCTTCTCCAAGGTGGTGAGCCAGGCAGCTAAGGGCATCTTGTGGTTTCCACAGCAGGTATTGAAACTCAAGCTATGGTGTCTAGGTTCCAGTGCAGGAAATAA